AAAAAAAAAAAAAAAGAAAGAAAGAAATTAACATATGCTAAAGCTATTCTGGATATCTTTAGGAAAAACAAGATATAGGCCTCAAGAAGTTTATCAGTTAAGGAACCACAAATGAAAAAAATCATTTATTTAAAAAAATCAATATTTGAGTTGCAATCTGATGATCGTTCTAATAATCTGGAAGATAATGGCAATACAGAGAAGAAACACTTCATTCAGAAGATAGTAAGTGATATGGTTTGATTCTATGTCCACACCCAAATCTCATCTCTAATTGTAATCCCCATGTGTAGAGGGAGGGATTTGGTGGGAGGTGATTAAATCATGGGGGATGGTTTCCGCCATGCTGTTCTGTGATAGTGAAAGGTTTCTCACAAGATGTTTTCGGTTTAAAAGTGGCTGTTTCCCCAGCTCTCTCTCTTTCCTGCTGCCTTGTGAAGAAGGTGCCTGGTTGTCCTTTGCTCTTTGCCATGATTGTAAATTTCCTGAGGCCTCCCCAGACATGCGGAACTGTGAGTCAAGTAAATCTCTGTTGTTTATAAATTACCCCATCTTAGCATTATCTTTATAGCAGTGTGGAAACAGACTCATATGTAAGAGAAGGCTTCCAAGTTGCTTGACATATATCTTGAAGAATAATTTAGAGCTGTTGAGATGAGGGCACTGTAGATAGGAAGATAATTATTTGCAAAGGTGTGAAATTGTTTCCCAATTTGGAGAACTATAAGTAAACTGGCATGCCTGAAGGGAAGATTGTATATAATATGAAAATGTGGAATATAAGACTGGAGAATAAGCATAGGCAAATTCAGGATTGGTCCTATGTGCCAGGCTTTGGAATTTAAACATATCCTGCAGAAAATGGGGAACTACAGAAGGGGTTTTAAGTAAGGTAAGACATACTGTAATCCATAACTCTTAAGAGTCAGGGCAGTGAAACCAGATTGAAACTATAAAGAGGAGATTACTAGGGATATCTGAGAGAGAACCAATGGGGCTTTGAACTTAAGAGTGAGGACAAGCAGAGGAGGAAAGTTGATGAGATGGACAAAGGAATTAATAGAATATGTATGGTGCTGAGGAAGAGGGTCAAGCGTAGAAGACGCTTGTCAGAATATGGTAACTTGATTAATAATTGATGAAATATAGTCTTCTAGAAGACAAGTATGTTTGGAGAAGCATCAGGTCTTTGAGGAGCTTAAAGTACACATATGGATGATAAGGTTCAGAAATTATGTGTTCAAAGTGAGAAGAGGGCCAGTGATGAGTCTCTGGGGGAACTTCCTTGCCTCTCCTCTAATTAAGGGATGGTTTGAAGAAAGCGTACCTGAAAAGAAGACCTGACCATTAATTAATTAAACCCAAATAATTTTAAGGTTTTTTATTTTGTGCTTACACTGATATTTGTGCCAAATTTCTACCTTATGTATTAACTTTTCAAGTCATTATAATGTTGGTTGATGCTCTGGAATAATTGATTAAATGATGCCCAAATAAGGCTTCATTGGGCACATAGCATAAATGCACACAATACACTTAAACTTATTCAGTGATTCATTTTTACTTTTGTCAAGGTGAGCATAAAAACAAATTGAATTTATACTGCTTTTTAATGAAAGATCTCTAATGCTAAGGAAAGATGGATGCACAGTAATAAAATGGAATATAAAATGTGTTTTGGCAATAATATTTAAGGAAACGGGTGTGTGACCTGAATACCATAGGTGGGCTGTTTTCTGGTTGAGAATTAGTTTGTGCATTTGGCCTGAAAGTAAAATGTTAACTTTACTTCACAGATGAAATCATTTTTTTT